TATATATATATATATATATATATATATATATATATATATATATATATATATATATATATATATATATGGGGAATGTCCCCATTGTAGGACAATAAAGGAAGCCCATTTCAGCAGAAAAAAAGCCTTGAAATCAAACTGCTTTATGCTGATGAAGATTCTCATTCAGCCAGGTCATAGTTATTGCAAAAAAGTTAAAAAACAATAATCTGGACTTTGTTTCCAAGTTTCAAGATGTTTAACTTCCCATCCAGGAAGCTTTTTCAATTCAAAATGTCAGGAATAGCATTGAGTTCGAGGCTATATACAGTAGCCCAAACAAGGCCTCGTTTTTGTTTAGAAAACATGCAATGCAATAATTCTAAAACATTTGCGGAGTATGCAGACTGTTTTGTGCTAACAGTAAATGAACAGCAGCACTGTGGATTCTTTTAAAACATGTAGTTTAAAGCACTACTTCTCAAGGTTAAAGGTCATTAAACAAAATAATACATATTAATGTGGATGAGACATAGAAGCATCACTAAAGATGGACAAAACCAACTACCCTGGTTATTGAAGCAGATTGTAAGAGCTTACATCTGTTTGTAACTAATTTTGTTGAAAAGTTTGCATATTCATTCAATATTTTGAGCCATGTGTTGACTCTGCAAGCTTTTTGTGGGACAGAAGCTGAAAAGTATGGGAATCTCTCTGGTTTAAAGCTCCAATGCAGATATTACTTCTTGTTCTCTCCCCTCATGTCTGTCTGGGAGGAAGTCCTTTTAAATATCTAAATGTTTTAACTATTGATTAAAAATCAGTTATAGTACCATTGGTGAAAATAATAAGTGTTCAACTTTACTACAAAGTTTCAATAATACGACATCTATTCACTATAACAAGGGAGATATAACAGATAATAAGATGACAAATCTCTTCTTCACAATCCATTTGACATTTTAAAAAGAAAGATTTGGGTTCACTCAGTTCCTTCAACTGAACTACTGTCTATTTACACATGATTCAGCAAACTCAATGTTATTTTGCAGAAGAAAATTATAATTTTTTTAAAAGATTCTTAAAACTCCTTACTAAATGGGATTTAAAAAAAATAGCTAAAACTGGATTTCAAGGATTTTTATAGAGCACCTTATTTGAAGTACACTCCATATAAAGTACCGTAATGGTCACAGTTCCTGAAAGCCAGAGCCATTGAAGAAACCATTCCAATAAGTCTTAGCTCAGAAAAGGCTAATTATGTAAACAAACAGCTATGTTTGCTCAAACAGCCTGCAAGTTAAAGTGTCAAGTTGCTTTTCAGCAGACTGTGTTCTGAGTAGCTTTTAACTGGACTTGCTCATGAACATTTTCAACCTGGGATCTCTGTGACTGCTGTCAACCACTGATAAGACACTAAAGACTCATAACTAATATAACTGACCTTTCTTTAAGAGAAATAAAGCATTCCCTCAATAATTATGGATGAGCAGAACCAACGTTTAAAAATCAAATCTCGACATGAGGCTCGTGAGAGCACCCCTCATACCAGGTAATGGTTCAGCTCTGGTTAAGCTAAAACATTTGGACCTTGGTTTTAATTTCTGGTAAAAATAAATGAAAGATGTAAAGATAAGTAAACATTCATTCCACATTTCTTTTATTCTTTGTAGTCTTGCAAGTGGGTGATGTCATTTTTCACTGGGAAGGAAGGTTCATTCTGTAAGGGCAGGTTTATCAACCAAACACGAATGTTTCTGGAAACTAGAGAAATTGAGAGAGAACCCATTCATTAAAAGAACGCTGTTTACATAAATGCATGGAAACCAAGCTTCCTACCTAGATTTAAATCGGGATCTTTGTGCTATAAGCCATAGACCTTCTTATATTTGTAATTTAGTCATACTGTAATTCATAAGAAGTATAGCCAACTATAAGTGTTGAATTGCTAAACTGCTCTATTGAATGTTCTGATGGGGATTGAGTTGTTTTAAATATGCTGTGAAATTATTGGTTTTATTATCTCTATTATCCTAGAGAAGCATTCTCACCATTTACCTGTTCCCACCTCTTGCACATCTTCCAGCATTATATGTTTTAGTTTTGCAATTGCAAAGAAGCAAATGTTTTGGTGGATGTCGAAACAGTTATATGGGTTGATCATGATTAATCATTAATTCCTTGGTATAATGTCTCTTCTACACTTCAAAAATGTAAAATTGTTTAAACTGTCCCTGTGTGTCCCTGTTAATGTTACAGGACCTGTTGGTCTTCTACTTTATCCTCGGATATGATTTGTGCAGTTGAAATTCCACCCAAAGGAATGCAATCAGCCTAAGACATAGGTGGCTAAAACCAAGGCACAATGGGGGTGTTACTTACTTTAACTTGAATAAAAGCAAAAGGGATAACTTTTAGAATCTAAAATCAATGGATTTTACTTACCAGGCATGTGAAAGGTTCACATCACAGCTAAATTGACAAATTAAAAAGTTATTAACCTTTAAACATAAATTAAGCCAAAAAAGCACTGTACACTAACCTGAGTGGCAATTTAATTGCAAAGTAGCGATCTATGGCGATTGCGAGCAGGCTGAAGATGGAGTTCTGTGTGAGAACCAGCACAAAGCACGCTATGAACAGGCAGCCATAGAAGTTGGAGCAGAATCCGGTGCTGATAGCGATGGCGAAAGGGATAGCCAGGACTCCCACTGCGATGTCAGCCACGGCCAGCGACACCACGAAGAAGTTGGTGATGCTCTGCAGGTTACTGTTAAGGCAAACGGCCCAGCAGACCAACACATTTCCCAGCACGGAGAACACTGCGATCAACAGCTCCAGGACAATGTAGAGGATGGAGGCAGCAAAGTCGTCCGACATGGTGATTTAAAAGGAGGGGTCACTGATGAGAAAGGAGGGAACCTCTCAAAGTCCATAGCTGCAGCCTGCCAGCCTGTGAGCCTCTTCACCTCCAGGGCTTACAGAGGCAACCAGCAGGAAAACACAAAACAGCAGGGCTGAGTTCCCGTCTGCTAAGCAGAGACAACTGAAAACAAAACTTTCACATGGGTTTGTCTCAAATCCACATAAGTGACTCCTTGAAAAAATAGCTCCTCTTCTGTCCCTTAACTCAGGGATAAGATGATTCCAGCTCCACACATCACAGGAACTAGGAATTATGCTGCGGGAGATGAAAGACGAGCAAAGATGAGAAAGAGGAAATGCTGTTACTGTAAAGGAAATACGTTTGCTTAACGGCAAAGATCTTGTTCCTGAAAATTAATTGCAAGTCTTTTTTCTTTTCAAACATTTGGTGAACATTATATTTATTTTTGTGTAAATATATTATCTGTCTGTCTGCCTCTCTGCCTGTCTGTCTATGTATCAAATTATGATTAAAAGCATCCTTTGAGGAAAATTAAATTATATTTAAAAAACAGAAACAGAAGCAAAACTTATCAGCCTTGAACGGGTTATGGAAACTTGGGACTTCAGGAACCACAAAGAATATCATTCACATCATTAAGAGCCTAAAGGAATCACTTAAATATGTATAAAAGTGCATTGATGGCTCCATCACGAGGTCACAAATCCAGGACATCTTAAGTTCAGAGGGACTAACTGGTTTCAGCTGAGATCAGCTGCCATGAATCAACAATTAGGAAAAAATAATGTTTTTAATGCCAAACATGTTGTGGAAAGAAAAGGGGGGTGATTTTAGACATATTTTTCTTACAAAGGGA